TAATTTGCATGGTTGGCATGGTTTTAAAACTATAAATGGCATTGGAAAGTTTCAAACTAGCACAGGGACTTCATGAAAGATCTGTACTTAGTATTACTTTCCTGTTATGTTACTGTAGACCTAATTATCCAGCGGATAGTGAGCTAAAAGGATAAAAAGCGGACAAGGCTGACAGGATTCTTTTGAGCTCACTATTTACACTTTTTGCCTCTCTCTTCTTTGGCACATTTTTACAACTTCAAAATAAATAAGGCTTTGCAATAATAATTCAATATTCTGTGCTTAGATTTTCACCTTCATAGCCTAGACCAATGATGGCGAACCTTTTGAGCTCGGCGTGTCAGCATTTTGAAAAACCCTAACTTAACTCTGGTTGCCGTGTCACATATAGAAATTTTTTGATATTTGCAACCATAGTAAAAAAAAAGGCTTATATTTTTGATATTTATTTTATATATTTAAATGCCATTTAACAAAGAAAAATCAACCAAAAAAATGAGTTTACGTGTCACCTCTGACACGCGTGTGATAGGTTCGCCATTACTGGCCTAGACAGTGTCAGATGTTACTGATTTTTATGTTGTCACAATCAGGTTAGACAGACTGTTCTTAATAATAACCTAGCAAAATTGTTTCGTACATGCTTTTAACTACTGGCCTTGCATTCTGTATTAAGAGGAACTGAACAATTTAAATATGTTGCCCTCAGTCAGTATAATTTTTGCTTTTTGAAATGTTTATTTTTATAACTAAACTTGGTTTAACCTCACAGAAGGGAGAACAAGTCAGTATTTTCCTGATATTAGCCAACAGGTATTCGCCTCCAGAATAATGTCCTGCAGTCTAACTCAGTAGGTGGATGAGATGGGGTTATGTTTCACAGATAAAAAAGGAAAATATTGATGAGATAATCACTCAGTTATATTGGGAGATTCTATGCTTTTCTTCTTTAAAAAAACTTCCTTAAACATCTATTATTTTTTGTGGACTTCACAGGACTTGCAATACATAGGTATTCAAATTATTTACATAAATTGCCTGACCCTGTCATTTTTCAACAAGTTAAACATATCTGATAAAGCTAATTTATATTATTATTCAGATTCAAGGGGCAGTTTGGGATCATAGATTGTGCTTTATTATGCATTTTATTTTAATTACTGATTAGTTTTGAGCTTAACAAATAATTTAAACAGGCAGAGGATTTTGGAGCTGTAAAACATACTTGGCTTTTTTCCAAAATAAATTTAAAAAAATTTTTTTAAAGCCAAAGCCCCATCTGCTGTTTTTTATTAAAATCTCAAGAATTGTTCACATTGCCAAGAGCAGTTCTTTGAATACAATCTGATGTTTAATCCAGCAGTGATATGTGAGTTTCAAGGTCATTTTTTGTTAGGATAGAAAGAAAGTCAGGAAGATTAATATCCTCAAATACTGGTGAAATTTAAAATTTAATAACAGTTTAAGTAGATTTTATTATAGAACTTTAAATATAAAAAATTCACATCATTCTACTTAAAAATTAGATTTTAGAAATTGGAGCTCTACTTTTTTGAAAAGGTGAATTCTTATGTAATAAAATTTTAAAAAGTGTTCTTATTTGGCTTCTGAATTATTTATTCATTTGTGTAGGGAGGGAATAGTAGATTTACTTTCCTATGTTTTGCTTAGCCTAATATAAGAAAATTTGCACCTCCTTAATACTTGAGAGGTTAGTAGGAAGATAGATGTCAAGAACCATGATGGCGTGAACTATGAGATAAAGTCTCGACATGAAAATAATTTAAAAATATGTGCATGGATAATTAATACCCAAATCTATACTAATAAAAGGGTAATATGCTAATTAGACCAGGTCAACCGGACATCTTCCGGTTGTCTGGTCCTCCTTCTAGACAAAGCCATGGTGGCGGGGGCTGAGGCAGAGGTGGTTAGGGGTGATCAGGCAGGCGGGCAGAGTGGTTAGGGGTGATCAGGCAGGCAGGCAGAGTGGTTAGGGGTGATCAGGCAGGCAGGTGAGCAGTTAGGAGCCAGCGGTCCCAGATTGCGAGAGGGATGTCTGACTGCCAGTTTAGGCCTGATCCCTGTGGACATCCCCTGAGGGGTCCCGGATTGGAGAGGGTGCAGGCTGGGCTGAGGGACCCCCGCCCCCCCCACGCAAGAATTTTGTGCACCCGGCCTCTAGTATATAAATGATACTATAATTATAAAAACTTGGCTTTTAGAAATTCCACTTAATGAGGACTCCATATCTTGGTTTTGAAGTTTCATTAGCTCCTCATCATCAGGATAAAAATTCATATACGTCACTGTGGCATACAGGGCCTATCTGCTTCTGCCATTTTCTCCGGCTTCTTCTCTGACTGCTGCCTCAATTGGACCTGATTCTCCAACCATACTCAACTCTGTCAGAGCTGCCAAACTAGCCTGTTTCTGTCCTGTTGTTTGCTTTACCTGGCATAAGCTTGCTAGTCTTGGCCACTGGGCCAAACTCTTCTCTACTATTCCCTCTACCTCAAGGCAGCTGGGTGCCTTTCTCCCCCCATAGCTCCAGAATGTTGATATTACACTTTCCCCATAACACTGCAGTTCTCATGTGCTAGATAGAACTAGGCCTACTTATCTCTGTTCCCAGGACCTGGCAAGCTGTAGGTGCTCCTGAGTTAAGTACTGGAATGACCACTGAACCCACCACAAGCCACTCCTGCTTTCCCTGTTCCAACAGAAAATGTGCAGTCCTTCTTCCTGTCCCCAGAGGGTGCTGAGCAAAGAATGCCCTGAAAAATGGAAGCCATCACCTTAGGAGCCTAAATATATTGTGAAGATAGTCTTCTTTATTCCCATTAAAATGAAAGCATAGATTTTTTTTAAAAAAATCTTTTCTTTAAATTTTAAAAATATATACATTCCAATTACTTTAGCCTACAAAGAAATCACGACTTTCTAATTCCTGTAAAACTAGTTTCCCATACCACTTGCACTGCTTTGCCTTGCCTTCTATTCCAATAGGTGATGTGTTCAGGGAAGTTAGGATCCAAGTTGTGTTCTCATGCTTCCTGCTCAGAACCTAGCCCAGTGCTCTATTTAGGAGGTACTCCGTAGATGTGGACTGACGGACTGCATGCCTCTTGGGTTCCTTGTGAGGACCCTTTGGACCTCTTAGCGCCTTCATGTGTTCCACGCTGAGTCCCTTTGCCTTCACTCAGCAGGTATGGCGAGCTCTAACCCGCCCAAGTGTCCCTTGCTGCTACTTCCTCTAGACCAGCGGTTCTCAACCTGTGGGTCCCGACCTCTTTGGGGGTCGAACGACCCTTTCACCGGGGTCGCCTAAGACCATCGGAAAACACATATATAATTACATACTGTTTTTGTGATTAATCACTATGCTTTAATTATGTTCAATTTGTAACAATGAAAATACATCCTGCATATCAGATATTTACATGACGATTCATAACAGTAGCAACATTACAGTTATGAAGTAGCAACGAAAATAATTTTATGGTTGGGGGGTCACCACAACATGAGGGACTGTATGAAAGGGTCACGGCATTAGGAAGGTTGAGAACCACTGCTCTAGACTATAAGTCAGCTCTATGCTGCGACTGCAAGACTTGCCTTCTCTCCCTATTGTCCACAGGACAGACACCAAGCTTTGTTGTTCTCTGCTCCTCATAAAGTAGTTTTAAGTGTTTAACAAACCTAGAATTGTGCACATCTTTATATCTAATTTTTAAGGTAAAGCAAAGCTGATATTTTCTAGATTCCTTAATTACTTTTTTCTTTTCCCCAGCCCCACTTTCTAGCAGGTTTTCTACTGGCTACATCACATAGCAACCAAGATTGCATTGATTAATTATTGGGAGAAGTTGATCTTAGTTAATTCAACATTTTTGGAATACTTATTGTGTAAAAAAAACACCAAAGATGTTATTGAAAATTAAAAAATTAACAAAGAAAAAAGCTCATTTTCTAGGGAACGGAGGGCTAAACTTATTCCCAAATAATTATAGCATTTGTCAAATATGGTAAGTACATAATAATAGAAGCTTGAAGAGAATGCTCCGTGAGACAGACGAGAGGGAAGTAGGTTTAGAGTTGAACTATAAGGGAGGTCATCGTGAAGGACTTGATCCTGAAGGAGGAGGGCAGGAGGAGCACGGTTCTCAAATTATTATTCTAGTAAAAGTTTCTCTGAAGCTCTTTTATCTATAAAAAGGCATGTTAGAAGGCTCACAAGCTAATTATCACACTTTTATTTATTAAGTAATTGATGTATTGGTTGTTTCATGATAAATAATGACCTTTCCTTCTTAGATCCTTGACACGGCCTTTTAAATTAGTACAATGCATTAAGTGGTAAACATGCTTAATAAAAAATCCTATATAATAAAAGGCTAATATGCAAATCAACCGAACGGCGGAATGACCAGTCACTATGATACACACTGACCACCAGGGGGTAGACGCTCAATGCAGGAGCTGCCACCTGGTGGTCAGTGTGCTCCCACAGGGGGAGCACTGCTCAGCCAGAAGCTGGGCTCATGGCTGGTGATTGCAGCAGCTATGGTGGGAGCCTCTCCCGCCTCTGTGGCAGCGCTAGGGACCCCTCGGGGGATGTCCGCCTGCCGGATTAGGCCCGCTCCCCCTAAGCCAGCAGGCAGACATCCCCCGAGGGGTCCCGGACTGCAAGAGGGCACAGGCCGGGCTGAGGGATCTCCCCCCACCAGTGCACTAATGTTGTGCACCATGCCTCTAGTCTATAATAATAAAAGCATAATATGCTAATTAGACCTAACGTCCTTTCAGATGACCTTCTGGACGAAGCTGGAGCTATGAGGGCCGAGGCAAGCTGCTGCAGCTGCGAGAGCCGAGCCCCTTGCATGAATTTTGTGCATTGGGCCTCTAGTTAGATAATAATAAAGGATGGCTGGCTTCTGCAAGCTTTGCAGTACTTCTAATGCTGTTTAATATGTGCTTATTTTATCCATGCTTTGTAGGCAGCTTGGATTTTGAAAGCACGAGCACTAACTGAAATGGTATATATCGATGAAATCGATGTAGATCAGGAAGGCATTGCGGAAATGATACTGGACGAAAATGCTATTGCTCAAGTTCCACGTAAGTGTTGGTTTTTCAGTTAAGTAAATGAAATGCCATTAGGAGGAGGAAATCTTGTGTTTACAAAATACGTAGTCAGGTATAGCATGTTTAAAAAATTCTTACGGCACACCAGTTGAAAATCACTGCTGTAAGCCTTTGCTGAGTGGGTTAGTACTACTTACCTGACAGACTTAGTGTGAAGATTAAATATGATAACATAAGTAACCTGATAGACACTCAACAAATATTAGTTTCAAACACATTTCCCTAAAATATATTTCCTGTTATGAATGTCTTTTGCACCAGCACGTTTCTGAAAATTCATTAGCTGACAGTGTTTACAGTTTTGTAAATAATACATAAGTTGAATTCACTGTCATCTCATAGGCCCTGGAACATCCTTGAAACTTCCTGGAACTAATCAGACAGGAGGGCCTAGTCCAGCCATCAGGTATGTGTTTCTGTTTCATACCCTCTGCCACTAAATATTGTCCAGACTGTTAGAGACTCTTCCTTTATTGATCTTCTTTGTATTTGAACCATTGACAATCGTCACAGGCCAATCACTCAAGCGGGAAGACCCATTACAGGTTTCCTTAGACCCAGCACACAGAGTGGCAGGCCGGGCACCATGGAGCAGGCCATTCGAACGCCCAGGACCGCCTACACGGCTCGCCCTGTCACCAGCTCGTCCGGAAGATTCGTCAGGCTGGGCACGGTGAGCTGTCAGAGCCTGGCACTGCCCAAGTAACATTATGTTACATCACTTTGCACTGTTGTTATAGTGGAGAATTGTATGGAAGGTTTTTAAAGGCGATTCTTTTTAATTATGTTGCCTTTATAATTTTTCTGCATGAGTTTTAATTTGTGTTTCAAGAGAAGGTTTTCTATTTCTTGTTTTATCATTTTCTCCATAGGCTTCCATGCTTACAAGTCCGGATGGACCTTTTATAAATCTGTCTAGACTGAATTTAACAAAATATGCCCAGAAACCTAAATTGGCAAAGGTATGTACTTCAAATTATGTTAGGAAGTTATATTAGAAGTATTATCGTAATAACATTGTAGGAACTGGGTACAAATTTGTGAAGGAAAGGCCATGTTTTTATTGAAATGTGTATGTTTAATTACTATATAAGTAAAATTCCTCTTAGTCTGGAGTTAAGGAAAGTCAGTCAGAAATAAAGCATATACAGTGTACTGTTATTCTAGGAAATTCTTTTTTTTCCTTATAAAGAACAGTAACTTAGAGCAAGGAAAGCAGATACACAGCAGCATCTTCAGGGAGTGAAGCTAAGGAGGTCATCTCTATGTGTGTGTATTTTTTTTTCTTTTTCAGCTTGGCCAATTCTCAGAAAAATGATTTTCTATCCTTGAGGATTTTAGGACTGTCAAAAAGAAGATTAAAAAAATGTACTCCTTCTAATTAGTATTTAATCAGGCGTCTCAATAAGGATTACTCAAGCCAGACAGTGGCAAGCCAAGTACATTAGTAATTCTAACTACTCAAAGATTAAATGCTCCTTTAAATTAAAGAGGGAGCGATGGAGGGAGGGAGGTAAGGAGGGAGGGAGAGGGAGAGAGCCCATGACCTTTCCAGTATAAAAATACTTGGAGGTGAGCGTGGAATAATTCAGAGCTAGGAGCACTTATCTTCTGGAAACTGGTTTAAGCCTAGCTCAGGTTTTAACTGTAATCTCTGTGAATTCTGTACATGAGTCCTGAGCTCATTCCTAATCTCAATTTCAATGGCATTTAACATATTTGCTAAATATCAAACACGCTAGGAAACCGAAATGGATACGAGCTATATAGACTTGGAGTTTAAACCAGGAAGAGAAATGCTAGTAGGTAGAAAGGGACTCAGATTAGCATAGTGCTGATGATATTTTCCCAAGTGCTTATTTGACAGCAGTCCTGTCAGCTTCATTTAGCAGAATCACAAAGCTTTTCTCATTTCTCTTTCTGTTGTGAGAGTGGAGTGTTAAGAGCAGCCCGGATGGAATATCTGGTTCCCTGCCTTTTCAGGCCATTTCCTTGAGGTGGCTGGATGGCTAGTCGACACCAGTGCTGTTTCCTAACCACGAAGTTCAGTCAGTGGAGGCATTTCCCACAGTTAACTTGTGATGCTTCCAGGACAGACCTGTCTGTGTTCCTAGATTTAGACTGAACTAGATTTTGTACATTTCTAGTACAAAATGCCACGTTTTTCAGTCTTTGGTCCCCAACTTGCTTGACTCCTCACAACTCATTTCTAATGTTGGCATATTGCTTGGGGTGTCTGTGTGACTCGACTCCCTGGCACTGCCTCAGGTGTTGTGCCATCTTTTTCATGGCAGTGGTAACACCAACTGCACTCTGAACTTTTTCTTTTTCTGCATAACAGAACAAATGGAAGGTTACGTATATATTTTTAAAGAAAGACTGTCCTGATTTTTTGTTGTTGTTTCCAAGTCTTCTCTGTTAATAACCTTGATATCTTCCAGGGGTCCCAGCCTCTTTGCAAGTGCAAATAATGTTGTTATGGACAGATGTAGTCCTACCAACAGATAATCCAGTAAATGCTTATTTATCCACATGAGTTGGGTGAAGGATTAAAATAATGGCTCCCAGCCCTGGTTGCTCATTAGAGTCATCTGAATAATAAGCAAACTCCCCCTCCCCCCACCACCACACTTTACTCTTAAACTCTACTCTGTTTCAGAAGAAATGTCCAGATTTTCCTATGTCTAAAGTGTTATTATTAATGTCATAATCACTGTGTAATATATGTAAAGTGTGTCAAAATGGGGTGAATCTGTTTTTTTTGGCAGTCCTAGTGTCTTTCCCCCCATTTATCTCTTTCTAATAAAATAGTATGTACAATATGAAAAAAATGTTCAGTTATTTGAGCTTTCCAGTTTGTACTCTGTAAAAGACAGGAATTAGTTGTAAATAGCCATATTTTGAAATGGGTAATTGTGACAAATGATAGATTGACACATTATTTATAAATCCCAGGCACTTTAGAGTACCTTCTTATTCTGGTTCAATCCAGCTGTTGTCAAAACTGTCTGAGTTTTGATATAATAATAGAGTGCTTTTGTTAAAATAAAATCTAATGTATTTTTGGCATTTTTTTCTTCGTAGGCTTTGTTTGAGTATATCTTTCATCATGAAAATGATGTGAAGACTGTAAGTTTTGAATTCATGCTTTTTTCTTTTATTTTAAGTTTTCTGACTTTGGGGATTTAAATTTTGAAATGTTCTGTTTCCTACCTTTCTTACCTTATAAACAGATATAATTATTAAAGATTGGAGAACTACTAATATTTTCAAACCCACTGGATGGAGTTTTCATCTGGTAACTCCCAATACATATATACACTACTTTATAGAACGTGCAATTAAGCAATTTGTTTTGTTTTTATTTAGTAAAACCACAAATTGTTGGTTCCTCTGTTTCCCCTTTTATTCATTAGTTTACTTATTGATTTGTTACTTGATTGGGCTATTCTTTGAACCAGTAATTATTGAGTGCCTATGCATTGATACTATGATGTGTGCTAGGAGTACTGAGAAAGACAGAATCCCTGTATCTATTTTCCACTGGTATGGGCTTGCCACATTATAATTCTGTTCTGAATCAGATTGTTCCATTAAAATGTCATTTTATTTTATTATTTTTTAAAATATATTTTTATTGCTTTCAGAGAGGGAGGGAGAGTGAGAGAGAGAAACAACAATGATGAGAGAGAATCATTGATCGGCTGCGTCCTGCACACCCCCAACTGGGGATCGAGCCCGCAACCCAGGCATGTGCCCTTGCCTGGAATTGAACCTGGGACCCTTCAGTCCACAGGCGGATGCTCTACCCACTGAGCTGAGCCAGCTAGGGCTAAAATGTCATTTTAGATTTTCCCTCAAATGTTATTTTCTGGCCGAAACTGGTTTGGCTCAGTGGATAGAGCGTTGGCCTGCGGACTGAAAGATCCCGGGTTCGATTCCTGGGTTGCGGGCACATCCCCAGTAGGAGATGTGCAGGAGGCAGCTAATCGATGTTTCTCTCTCATCAATGTTTCTAACTCTCTATCTCTCTCCCTTCCTCTCTGTAAAAAATCGATAAAATATATTTTAAAAAAATGTTATTTTCTGAATGGAAGAAGAATTTAAATAATGAACCAGAAGCATTCTTTTTTTTTTTTTTAATGAATGTTTTGCAACTTAGCTGGGGAAAAAGGGAATTCTGTTTTTCAACATGCTGAAGAAATCAGAGGTGCTTTTATACTGGTTACTTGGGTGGCCTCCAAATTTCTTTGTAAATAAATTATTTCACACAAATTTAGAGAATATTAGATAAATACTGTAAAATGGTATTTAAATGTTAAGAAAAATCAAGTTGATCTTCTATGGAAAACTATATTTCTGTCTTTGAATTCTTAATATTTTTTCCATTTGGGGGGGGAAGCCAATATTAACAAATCTAGAATGGCATGTGGGTTGGTGATTCTGTATTTGTCTATAGACAGATATGGAGAATACTGTAGATAACTTTAGAGAATATTATGAAGTGATATTTCAATGTTAAGGAAAAGTAAAGTTGTCCTATGGAAACTGTTTTTCTGCCTTGGAGTTCTTAACATCTCCCCTCCCTCCCCTTCCTTTTGGGGGCAATTTGACAGCATTGACAAAATAAAGTTGGTGATTCAGGAATCTTTATTTCCAAATGCTCTTTAATTTCATCATCCTGAAGTTGTCGCAACTGTAACAATAGTGAAAGGACGACTCTTTTTTTTTTTTTAACATTAGTGGTTGGGGCACTATTAGGAAATCAATTGGGGTGCTCAGTTGGACATTTCAACAACCATTAGGATGTGTAGCTCTGCTGAAGACTCTGCATATGGACTTCTATACATTTATGGCTTTTATTTATGATCTTCTGAGCCTTTGATATTGAGATTCTGTAGTGGTTAAGTTAGTCAAAGATCCTTAAATATATAGTCATTTATTTTTAAAAATTGGAACATTAGACTGATGATTGCCAGAGGGAGGGGGTTTAGGGGACTGGGTGAAAAAGTTGGAAGGATTTGAGAAGTACAAATTGGTATTACAAAATAGTCATGGGGATGTAAAGTACAGCATAGGGAATATAGTCAATGATATTGCAATAACTATATATGGTGCCAGGTGGGTACTGGAAATATTGGAGGAGTACTTTGTAAAGTATATGTGATTGTCTAACCACTATGCTATAAACTTGAAACTAAGACAAAAAAATATTGAATATAAACTGTAATTAAAAATAAATAAATAATTGGGACTTTAAAGAAATACTATAGATTTTCTGTCACCACTTTAAAATTTAAAATTGTTAATATGAATCTTATTACTATAATTTGTTTGGTGCTTAAGTTATTTTCAACATAAATTAGAAATAAAGAATAGAATTAGTTAAATCAATAAATAATTCTTCAGGGCCTCTTAGCACAGCAAGAGAGATGTGTAAGAAGGGGTGCCTGTCCTCAGGGAACTTGGGGCCCTTTTGAAATGGTCACCAATGGTTTTGTCTACTGCAGCCTCCGTCTTCATATGAAGAATGATAATTTAAATGTATATCTTTATTATTTTAGTCTATATCAATAATTCATATTAATTTCCTTAATTGGTTTAGCACAAACATGGAGATCCTACTTAGGAGGACTTGTTTCAGGGCCGTATGTGAGAGTAAATCAGTCGCCTGGAATAAGCTCCGAATCCTGTCTTGGAAAGTTAGAAAATGTAAAAAAGTTAGAAGGACATTTTTCTGAAAACAGAAGTCATTAGATTAAAACATGAGAGTGAATCTGGTCTATTTGCTGGAAGAGATCTTTATAAAGGTTAAGTTAAAATTAAGATATGCAGATATTTACAGTACACCCCTGAATTTAGCTGATTGAAAACATGTTTTTCTAGTATTTCCAGGGATAATGCTAATTGAAGTTACACTTTTTCCATCATTTTTTGCTTCCATTTTTATTTCTGACTTGGGGAAAAAAGAAAAATAAGCATATGAAAGTTATATGTGTCTTGTTTTTGAATATCTATGGCTTTCAAGTAGAGGTGTTGATTTTTCAAGTCTATTAGAACCCCAGCGTGGGGACACCACTTTAAAAAAAAATAGTTTGCATATTTAAAAGTTTCCCCTGGAGCAAGAGAAGATGGGAAACACAAAGAAATGTTCTTAGTTTTGCAGTAGGAGAGCCAAGGAATATTTCTGACATTTATTTCAGAAAAAGGTTAATATTAAGAAATGGACAATAATATGGGATATATTCTGAGATAACAGAACTGAAAACCTAAGTTCCTTTAACTGAAGTGTTGACCATCATTACACTAACACTGTTTAAAGAATAAAAGTTTTTCAGCCTTGAGAGAAAGAACAATAAGTATTACTTTAAAAAATCAGAATCCTCTTTTAACTAATAACCTGAGTTTTTATTCACCAAATCTTTGCATGAGCTTCAAATTTCTATGAGCTTCAAATCTGTGTAAAGATTGATTTGCTTTTCTCTTATCCAAATGGTTTCCACTTCCTCTACATAAAATTCTCATTCCTGTTTAGTCATTCTTTGCCAAATCTTGAATAAACACTAGAAGGAACAAGCTAGAATACACAAGAGAGATGGGAGAAACACATGTAAAATATGAAAGCAACTAGGAGGATTTTTTTCAGTCTGCAGCAAAGGAAAGTCTGACCTTTGGAGTTATTGGAATGTGAAGTGATGTCAGAATAATGGAATGGAGGTTTTTGAAGATGGTCGTTACCCCAGTACCCCAGCTTCTCCATGATCCTGTTTTCCAAACCCCTTTCTACCTGCTTCCTTTATTTTCTGTTTCTCGGTGTCTCTGTTAAAGTGGAGCCTGCAGTTGGACCGGGCTAACACCCTGAAGGCTTGACTGACACTGAATTGGGAGGCATTTTGGATCATTAGACAGTCGATAAATGGTGGGGAGAGGGTGGAAACGTATGGATTTTTGAAATACCACTTTTGTGCCTTGTATATTAAAATTGTATTCAAATATGTTGTACCTCTGCTTCCCTTTAAGCAGTGTTTACTTGTCATCTGCTGTCAGCCCTCTGGTCTGGAACTGATTATTTGGGGAAAATTCCTGGGGCCATCTGGAAACATGAGCAACTTGAGTTGCTGTCTGATTTCTAATGCATGCTTTGATTGATGCAAATTATATGGTTGATTTCATTATTTATTGTTTCTGTTTATTGTTAGAAGAGAAAAATCCTAACCTAAAATGACTTGTTTTCCAAGGCCTTGGATCTGGCTGCCCTTTCCACAGAGCATTCTCAGTACAAGGACTGGTGGTGGAAAGTGCAGATTGGAAAATGTTACTACAGGTAAAATTTGGATTATTTGGGAAGGGCTTAGAAGTGGCAACATATTTTAGAGTCTCAACCTGATAATTTTGGGGGTTGGGGATGATAGATAGATTTTTCTCATGAAGAAATATCTTTGGCTTACTTGAGAAAGCACTTACTGAGCAATCACAGGGTGGCACAAAGAACTGACACCTTTAGAATAACATAATTTTAGCCCAGCAAGGATGACTCAGTGGTTGAACCTATGAACCAAGAGGTCACCCATTCTATTCCTGGTCAGAGCACATGCCTGGGTTGCGGCTTGATCCCTGGTGTGGGGCGTGCAGGAGGCAGCTGATTGATGATTCTCTCTCATCATTGATGTTTTTATCTCTCTTGCCCTCTCCTTTCCTCCCTGAAATAAACATCCTATATAATAAAAGGCTAATATGCAAATCGACCAAACAGCGGAACAACTGGTCGCTATGATGCGCACTGACCACCAGGGGGCAGATGCTCAAAGCAGGAGCTGCCCCCTGGTGGTCAGTGCGCTCCCACAGGGGGAGCACCGCTCAGCCAGAAGCCCTGAGTCAGGCTCACTGCTGGCGAGTGCAGTGGTGGTGGCGGGAGCCTCTCCCGCCTCTGCGGCAGCACTAAGGATATCCGACTGACGGCTTAGGCCTGCTCCCCGTGGTGGGACATCCCCTGAGGGCTCCCGGACTGCAAAAGGGTGCAGGCCGGGCTGAGGGACCACCCCGCCCCACCCCCAAACCCCAGTGCATGAATTTTGTGTACTAGGCCTCTAATGTGTATATCTATATCTATATCTATATCTATATATATCTATATATATCTATATATATTTTTTAAAAAAACAAAATGAAACAAGGTAAACTGGTTACTGTGACCATCCTTCAATTCTTTAGTTTTCAGGCAGATACTGTGAGGAAAAGGAACTACATAAATGGAACCCAAGGGCTACTTTTTCTTTTAAAACTGCTTTCTGTTTAGATATTTCACATAGAACTCTAAAGTATTTTTTCCTGTTGTTAGACTGAGGAAGTATTTTCTGTTAAAAGGTAATTTTAGATCATTGTAACATTAAACTTAGGAATATAATTCCTGAAGACAAACTTGAAATCTTGAGCTTCTGAGCAAGACCTTTAGAAATCTTTAATAATTAAAGATAAGCACAACTCAGATTCCTTCTGCCATCCATTTAGGATGGCATTTAAATGAGTGTACTTTTTCATATTATCGTTCTCTGTTCCTTAGTAGGTTCTTATCTTTATTATGGCTATAACATTCACTCATTCATTTACTCTCCCGTTAGATACTTTCTTCCTTTAAATGATAGTTTCTTACAGGCCAGTGGGGAGAGAGGACAGTAAACAACAGTAAGCCCGGATCCCACTGTGATAGAAGCAGGCGCAGGTGCAGTGGGAACCTAGAGAAATCTCCTAATTTCAACTGGGGAGGCCAAGGATGGATGGATTACCAGACGATGTAGCCCCAAACTGACTTCCGTCTTTTTGCTCCTGACCAGTTAGTTCCTCTGGTTCTTCCTCTGCAGTAGCTTTCACAGTTGCTCCCTTACTATCCAGTCCCACCCCTGCCCTCATTCTGGCATTTAGTGCATTTGCTTGAATTATTACATTAGCTTCTTACCTGAATTGTCTGCTACTATATATATATATATATATATATCCATCCTATCTAATAAAAGACAAAAAGGGTAATTAACCATACCTCCGCTACACTTCCCATTGGCTAATCAGCGAGATATGCAAATTAACTGCCAACAAAGATGGCGGCCGGCAGCCACGCAGCTGAAGCAAACAGGAGGCTTGCTTGCTCCAGTGATGGAGGAAACCAAGGTTCCCCGCCTGCCGCGGCCCGGCTCTAAGCTCCGAAAGCAACAGCTCCAAAAGCAACAAAGTTTCAATTATAGAAGCTAAACAAACCCCAGATACCTGCTTTCAGCCAGCTGCGGCCTCAGAGCTGGAGCGAGCAGGACGGCAACAAAGTTTCAATTATAGAAGGTAAATAAATCCCAGAATAAAAAAAAAGAAAAGAAAAAAAGGAGAGGCTGGGAGCTTCAGTCGCCAGCCAGCCTGAAAACGGCCCTCAGCCCCTCACCCAGACTGGCCAGGCACCCCAGTGGGGACCCCCACCCTGAAGGGGGTGTGACCAGCTGCAAACAGCCATCAGCCCCTCATCCAGGCTGGCCAGGCACCCAAGCGGGACCCCCACCCTGATCCGGGACACCCTTCAGGGCAAACCAGCCGGCCCCCACCCGTGCATCAGGCCTCTGTCCTATATAGTAAAAGGGTAATATGCAAACTGACCCTAACAGCAGAAAGACTGGGAATGACTGGTCACTATGACACACACTGACCACCAGGGGGCAGACGCTCAATACAGGAGCTGCCCTCTGGTGGTCAGT